TGAGCTACAGCATGTGCCAAACATGCCCTGCAATGGGTGGTGCCTTAAAACACTTTTCCCCCCACCTCCCTAAAATATTTATCTACATCTTCAGCCTGTAATAATTAGGACAGTTGTTTAAGACAAAACATAAATGGATCTAGTCCCAAACATGTGCCACGTGCTTGCTGGCATCTGTGAATCACTGAGCGGAGCGGCGGCTTGCGATCCACCCAGCAGGGGTGTGAGAGCCTGGCAGGAGACCCATGGGCAGGGCTGGGTTTGCCCAGGAGGAGGAGATGCAATGGAGCCGCCGGGACAGACGCGACACAAAAAAAGAACGCCCGGGGGGGGCCTCCCCCCCCCCCCCCCCCCCCAGCCGCTCTCAATCCCTCCACACCGACGTACCCGCCTTGTGCGCGTAACACGGGTTGGACATCACCACACACGGACTCTGCGTAATCCTGGAGTTTGGCCTTTGCTTCATCTTTCTTCACCTCCATCCCAGGCTCCTGTCAGCCTGCTCTCCCCTGCGCTGCTGGCCTCTCCCCACCTCTTTCTGCTGCCCCCAATGTCACAGAAACGTCCCCTGGGCAGTGGATTTAGGGCTTTCCTTTCTTGCTACGGGCTCCATCCCAGACCTGTACACCACCACCTGCTGCACAGCTGGGCAGGAGAGAGGGCAAACCCTTTTCTGCATCTCCCACTTGCAGCTACAATAGGGCAGGGGGAAGGGAATACTACAGTGGCTGGGGAGTTGCTTTTAGTCTGCACCAGCTTCACCAGCAGCCACCTTCTCTTCTAGACAAGCCACACCAGTCCCAGGCTGATGCCAAGCCAATGCTTTCCCTGCTGCCCCAGCAGAAGCTTCCTTGCAGTCGCCCCGCATGACTGATTTGTGGCTCTGCCTGCGGGCACTCAGTCCAGCTAGGTCTCCCTTTCGTCCCTGCCAGCACGCTTGGAGCAAGTAGCTGGCAGCCAGGGGAGGGCATCGTGGCTTTTCCCCCCCTACCTTTTTCCCAGAAAACAAGGCCTGGGGCTTCTGGAGCTCACACTGAAGCAAACCTCACAGAGGAGCCGCAGGTTGGGGTTAAAAAGCAGAGGCTGAAGTGCTGTCAGGCAGCACCTCCAAGCATCTGCTAGCAAAGAAGGCTCTGCACTGGGACCCTACCCCCCTGAGCCACCCCGACGGGGAACCGTGCTAGGTATGAATTCCTGCC